GGACTTCCGAGTTCACTGTTACTAAAGTTACTGAAGTGATTAAAAAAAGCTTTATGTATCCGGGGCTTGATGTTCTTATATCAGAATATTTCAGGAAAAATGCAAATGTTTCCAGCCTCCTTTTTCTGGGGTTAAGCAGTTTTGATAGATTAGACAGCTAGCTGGCAAAACTCTGGGTCACCTTTAGTTTAGTGGGGTTTTTTGTTGTTGTTGTTGTTTTTAAACAGGACAATGGAAATTTTGGAGCTGAGATATTTGCCTACATGTAGAATCTCATTTTTGCAAGAATTACGGAAGGTATAAAATTCTGTACTTTCCTGAGTACCTGGAGTCTCAGGAAAAAGAGCAAAACATGCTTCAGGCTGATGAATGTCAGACTGAAAAAAGTTGGGGACTGTGCTGTTACAGGGTATAAATCACTTCCCTTCCCTTCACAAGCACAGGTCACTTGTGCCTTTGATTACTTGTGACAGCTCACTTTTTGACACCTTTCAAGAGAAGCCCAAAGTGTGTGTGTTGGGGAGGAAGGGGGGGTGACTATTTGGGCAGTGATGGCAAACTTTATAGGGACCAAGTGCCCAAACTGCAACTCAAAACCCACTTATTTATCACAAAGTGCCAACACTGCTATAAAACCTGAAAACTGAAGTTTTAGTTTAGAAAAAACAACTAAATATGACACTGCAGATTCAAATATGCCAAGGGGACAGCACAACATTAAAAGAATCTTATTCTCTTAATTAGAACATCTCTTTGCTAAATCTTGGATATTAAATTTCAATTTTTCATAAGAAAACTCAAAGCTAAAATCTCGTGTTAATAAAAATGAATGTATTAAAACTCACAACCAGTCCAAGCAAATATATATATATCCTTGACAGTGCACTGACCGGCCATGTGAAAGCTCAAATGAGTTGTGGCTAATGAGTCATGGCTCGTGACATCATCGCCTGGTGCTGCTACTCCTTTCCAAGCGTGCCCATGGCCCCTATGTGTGCTCTTATCCAATACTTGACTGCTGGGGTGATGCTGGGGCAACTTTGCTTGCATGCCGACAGAGAGGGCTCTGCGTGCCCGCTGTGGCACACATGGCATAGATTGGCCACCACTGACTTAGGATTACTTACTTCACTTCATAGCTGGTACCTCCCAGGATATTACTCCACACGAATCCTCATGTGAACCTTCACAGTTGCACAAATGCAACTAAAAATACAAGGAATAAAGGAATGAACCACTATGCTTGTAAGTCTCATTCTAAATCATCATTTCTAACGGAGGGATTTGAGGAAGTAGGAGTGCTTCCTGAAGATGGCTGGTTGTTCACTAAGTAACTGTCGACCTTAAGCTGCTTTGTGGGCTTAGAACTGGCTTGTACCGTGGAATGTGTGCGGTGTCTCTTCCTTCTTTTTCCCATGATGGTTTGAAATGTCCTGGAATTTTCTCCACTCTTTCTAAATATTAAGGCCTCCGATGAGGCAGCAAATGAAAGGTATTTAAAACTCTAAATTAAAATTACTGATTATAAGAACATGCTTTCCAGGGGAGCTCCTTCCAGCAGCTGCTGCCTATTCGTCATCTTGGCTCTACCCGCCCTCCCCCAATATGCACACTTTTTTTTTTTTTTTGCACAGGGAGGAAAAAGAAAAATGTTATTTTGGTCCCAGATAGCTCCTGCAAGTTGCTACTCATGCACTTTGAAGAGGGTGTTAGTGAATGCTCAAACAGGGATTGTGAAGGGCAACTGTCAATCCAGTTTAAAAAGGGTAAAGTGGGGAAAAGCCACAGAGTGTCAAAAACTGCTCTCATTCATGGCAGGGAAGAGAGGTACATAACTTGGAGCATGTCCCTGTCCAAAATCCCAAGGTCCCTCCCAAAACCCCATTTTAAAGGATCCAGGGTGTGGCAGCCACCTGCCAGGCTTGGTTTCCCTTTAAAAAGTGTGGAGGGGATTTACTTTTACACTTTCCTAAACTCCTAGAGGATTGGGAAAGAGGTAGAAGTGCCTCCCTAAGGGTACTAAAGGGGGGGGGGGGAAGAGAAAAACTGAGGATCTTGCTAATAGGTGGTGGGGAAATACTCCCCAAAACCTCCTTCTCAGAAGATCATTCATATCCTGGCTTTCTCTGACTGACTGACTGACTGACCGACCGACTGACTGATCTGAAAGCTTTTCAAGCCTTTCCTGCACACTAAGATAACAAAGCTGAGTCATGTATTTTGGCCATGTTATGCAATCAAGCTCAGTAGAAAAAGGTATAATGCTTGGAATGCTCAGCAGCAAGAGAAAACCAGGTTTCCAAAGAGCAAGGTGGTTAGAGTATTTTTGTTGTTGTCGCATCCAACCCATCGCGACCCCATGGACAACATTCCTCCAGGCCTTCTTGTCCTCCACCATCCCCAGGAGTCCACTTAAGCTCACTCTGACTGCTTCAGGGACTCCATCTAACCACCTCATTCTCTGCTGTCCCCTTCTTCTTTTGCCATCAATTGTTCCCAGCATTAGGCTTTTCTCCAGTGAGTCCTTCTTTCTCATTAGGTGGCCAAAGTATTTGAGTTTCATCTTCAGTATCTGGCCTTCTAAAGAGCAGTCAGTGTTGAACTCCTCTAGGACTGACTGGTTTGATCACCTTGCAGTCCAAGGGACTCGCAGGAGTCTCCTCCAGCACCACAATTCAAAGACCTCAGTTCTTTGGCGCTCAGCCTTCCTTATGGTCCAACTTTCACAGCCATACATTGCAGCTGGGAAAACCATAGCCTTGACTATACGCACTTTTGTTGGCAGGGTGATGTCTCTGCTTTTTAGTGTGTTGTCTAGATTTGCCATAGCTTTCCTCCCAAGGAGCAAGCGTCTTTTAATTTCTTGGCTGCATTCCCCATCCACAGTAATCTCAGAGCCCAGGAAAATAAAATCTGTCACTACCTCCATTTCTTCCCCATCTATTTGCCAGGAAGTGGGAGGACCGGATGCCATGATCTTGGTTTTCTTATTGTTGAGTTTCAAGCCAAATTTTGCATGCTCCTCCTTCACCTGCATCAAGCGCCTCTTTAGTTCCTCTTCACTTTCTGCCATTAGAGTGGTATCATCTGCATATCTGAGGCTGTTGATATTTCTCCTGGCAATCTTAATTCCCACTTGTGATTTATCTAGCCCCACCTTTCTCATGATGGGCTCTGCATATAAGTTTAATAGGCAGGGCGACAGTATACAGCCTTGCCAAACTCCTTTCTCATTTTTGAACCAATCAGTGGTTCCGTGTCCAGTTCTCACTGTTGCTTCTTGACCCACATATAGGTTTCTCAGGAGACAAGTAAGATGGTCTGGTACTCCCATCTCTTTAAGAACTTGCCACAATTTGTTGTGATCCACACAATCAAAGGCTTTAGCATAGTCAGTGAAAGAAGTGGCATAGGATTGGAAAGTGTGGTGAGATTTGGCCCATAGGTTCGCTTATAGTTGGACACAACTGAACAGCTGAACAACAACAACATGTAGGAAAGGTGCTTCCTACCCCTGGGCAGTGGGGATCCCGCTGCAGCTGTCCCAGGAGAGGCTTGAAATGCTCCCATTAGTGCTTCCGCGAGTTCCTTTATGCTAATGGAAGTAAAACATTTTTATAATGGTTTATGTTTGTGTGCCTGTTTCTGAGCACACTTTATTTAAAGCGGCAGCCCCTCCAAGCTCCACTGTGGCCACTTGGAAGAGGGAGCTGATGGCTGCCCAAATGGGAAGTTGGAAACTGGATAAAGGGAAAAGGATTAAACAGCCATAGCAAGCCCAATTTGGTTTGGCTTCATTGCAGGAAGGGAGACAGGACTTGTTTTTCCCACAGTGTTCCCTGAGATACCACCTGGAGGACCAAGGGGAAGGGAGGGGGGAAGGCAGGTGAAAACAGGCTCATTCTGGGTGCTTCGTGGAATCAACCCATCATGGAAGACCATTGGGTTGTTATGATATGTGAACCTGCCCACTCTTCTCCCAAACTTTAGTGAGATTTATACCCATTTGTTTAAAAGAAACTTTGATGGAGATTGGTGCAAATATATGGAAGTTCAATAACCCCCAAAGTAATTAATTGCTCTGAAAATTATCTGATGGAGTTTGTCAGTTTTATCTCTCAATATTATGCCTTGAACTGATTGTTAGTTTCCTCCCCACTTTTGATGCGTCCCCAGCCTTAGGTTGTGGTAGCAGAATGGGACAGAGTGATTCAAGTGGGCGGGTGCAAGTATTGTCAATGCAGGAGGCTCCCATTGCTCAGACCCATTCAGCTGCTGCTGAATGGCTTTGAGGGAGCATTGGAAATGGAAGGAACAAGCAGCTGTCCAAGGCACAATAGCAACAGTAATCATCTTGGCCTGATCACTTTAAGAGACGCACTTTAAGGAAGCCTTATACATGTGACACATACGCAGTCTTGTTGCAATAGGAAAGGAAATTAGGAACATTGGAGAAATCCACAGTGCATTTAGCTGAGTTCATCTTTCTATCAATCCAGTCTGTGGATTTCTCAGCAGATTGGCTTTCCCCATGTTGCAAGGGTCCCAGACCATTTTTTTAAAAAATTGGGGAGGGGTTTGCACAGATGCATACTTGTACAAAAGAGCATTGCCAATTGTACTCACGTGCATTACTGTAGATGTGCATTCCTAAAGAAGAACATCATTCTGTTCTATATATCCCTAAAAAAGTCCAGTTCCATCAGTGACCACAGAATGAAAGACACCTGAAATGCATGAAATATGGGTGGAAGAGATTTAACAAAATCTATACATCCCTAATGGAAATGAAAGAAACATGGAGGCCTTGTGATATTGGGGAGGCACAAAACAGAAGCAATGAGATTGCAGGGAAGCAGGCTAACCTGAGGAGACATCTGCCCTGATGATTCCGGAACTGTGGGGGCAGCAGGGAGAACCCAGTGAGACCCGTGTGTGAGAGCAGCAGGGAGTGACCTTAACAGTATTACCACTGATTAACATTGCACAATTTTTGATAGGTTCATCGTGGAATAAAAGGAATTGTATCTGACAAATTTGGAAACCCAATAAAGAATGCCCGAATCTCAGTCAAAGGCATCCGCCATGGTGTTCTTACAGGTAAGAGAAATGGAAAGCAATGTTGGTCTTCCTTCCTAATTAGAATGCCTTGTTTTTAAAACTGAAATACAAAATTAGGTTGTTGATGGATACGTTTATACATGTATTTTTTGTGTGCAAAACACCTTTCATCCTACAGAAAGCATATAAAATCCAAAAAACTGCACGAATTTTGCTGTAGAATAATGAAGGGCAGCATTCTTTCCATTGCCCCTTGGTGCTCACAAACCTCTGATTAAGGCTTGAAGTGTAGCTCCCCAGCTATGATGTTGGAGTGCTGTTTCTAGCCTTGAACCTCAGAAGGTAATGTTTCCTATTGTCCCCTAAACATTATGGCTGGGGGCCTGCCATTAAAAATACAACAGGAAAACAAGTGTTAAATGTAAACTCTAAAATCATCTACATTGACTGGGTTCTTGTAACTTAACATGTTGGTGCATCAGTGCACTTCCTTGGGAGCCTCATTTCTGAATCATGAGATTATAATTATACTGGCCAAGGTTTGCATTTACTTTCCCCGGAATGGGCTAATGAGCAAGGCCTTGACACCTGATCTGAAATTATGGACAAATCTTGGTGTGCATTAAGAAAATGTGTTTGGAACACATTGATGGGCCAACCTCTGAGTTACATGCATATCTCATCTTTCCTGCAGAGTGTTTAATGTATACATTGTACAGAGTTTATGTGGAAGTTCTATTTCATCACAATAGCTCTGAAAAGTATCTTCAGCTGAGATATAGTGATTGGCATAAAGTCATCCACAGAGCTTCATGGCTGAGTGAGGATCTGAAACTAAGATTCCCCAGTCCTACTGTGACAATAATCACTACAGTATATTGGCTTTCTGGAGTACTACATTCCCACTATGCCCTATACTGATGGACAGTATCTTTGGATGTGGAAGTATGGTTTTAAATTAGTTGAAAATAAGATATGTGTTTCCTTTAGCTGATGATGGAGACTACTGGAGACTTTTGCCACCTGGAACATACATTGTCAGTGCTCAGGCTCGTGGCTACACTAAAGTCCTAAAGAAGGTGACGTTACCTTCCAAGATGAGCAGGGCTGGACGAGTGGACTTTATCTTGCGACCTCTCATTGGCAAGCCTCCTCCAATTGTCCATGAGCATTATGATCCACTGGAACACTTTGACCCTCATGCTCAGCAAGAACCAAGAGAAGATGGAGGGCAATCCGTCCAGCCAAGAGAAAAACCCTGGTGGTGGTCATACTTCAGCTCTCTGGATCAGCATAAGCCTTTGTGGCTACTTAAGCATCAGTAGACTGTTTTATGTTGCACTCTAAACCTGAACACAGTACCTGTTAATTGTATTTCCAGTGTTACTCTGGATGCTAATGGAAGTATTTGGATCTGATTCATCTGTTCATATAACATTGTCTTGCTAGTTTTTTTTCTTTACATTTTCTTTATTTCTCTGCCTACAAAAATGTATATTAAAATTAGTATGCACTTAAAGCTTGATGTTCTGTAGCTGTTGTTCACTGCTTTTCCCCATGCCACTGTTGTTAATCATCAAATTTATTATTTATTAGGAACTAAAGTACCTGAAGAGAAATCCTTCTGATCCTTTAATGCATTTTCATACATGTCTTAACACATTCACTACTGCAAGTGAAAACACCCTTTAGGAAAAACAGGAAAAGCTTTTTTTTCCTATACCCATTACTTCTGCATAGCTTGGTACATTAATTTTCACATCTGAAGTGGTTTCCTTAAAACCATCTTTTATCTAGGCTGGTCTACATGTAGGCTGCCAAGCACCATGGAATAAAAGGTCTAACTGTAAGCTACTAGTGGCTTAAATGGGCCAAATGAATTCCAAAGACTGAAAAGGACATCATTCCCTTGCTAGCACTAAGAAGGGATGTTAGGAATGATGACATCACTGGCCAAAATGGAAGGTTAGTCCTAAACTCCTGACTCAAACATGACTGATGAACCAAAACTAAACTAAAAACAATATGGCTGTTAGATAAGGAATTCCTATTATGTGGCAAGCTAAATCCAAGAACTGCAAGTCAGTCCAAAGAACAGAAAGACTCTACAATGGTGTATTACAAATAGCCAATGGAAATGGAAGGCCAAGGACTGGTAGCTGCGGTTTCAAGTCAGCCTGAACAGCTGATCACTAAAAAGGGTTACTATGATTAAGCCTGTAGGGCATGGGTTTTCAGTTATGATAGAAAAGCTTACCATTTTAGCAAAAATGATGCACTGGAACTAGATCTAACTTGACAAATGTCAATTCAAGTCATTGCAAAATCATACATCTGAGTATTTGTAAATAGCCTCAAGAATTGAGGTAGAAGCCCTAATCTGCTTGTGGGGTCCAACAATCTGCTGAAGACCCAGATCTTTCTAGTGAAGGGAAGTTATCCCAGAGATGAAGATAAGTTCCAGAAACAAAGAGTGAGAATTCAACCAGAGCTTGGTTTCCTACATCCTAGGTGGTGCCCAGTGAAGGGAGATCATGAAGGATGCCATCTTGTGCAGCATGAGGCAGCTCAAAAGCATGGAAAACGAAGAAAAGACTTTTTCCCCAAAGAATTAAACCCCAAACACTAAAAGGAAGGTGCCCATTTAAATGTTTCACAGAACAGTTGAAAGGGACACCTGTTCGTGTCAGGACACCTCAATGGCAGCCACAAGACAGGATCCCCGGGTTCGGTAAGAAAAGACCCCTTCCACCTAGAACCTCAGCAGTTTTATTGAAAGACCACTCAGGCATCCTTTGCAGAGCAAATTATACTTACAACAGGGCTGTTGGGTAGAGGCCAGATCAACTACAAGCTTTCAGAACATATACAGAGTGTTTTATAGATTCTGGTTCACATGGGCCCAGCAGCTGGGCAGCTGATGATGAAATAGGGGGAACACAGTCAAAGGTGAGATGTCTGCAAAGGGGGCTCAATACAATCTACTGATTACAGAAGATTGAAATAAATAAATAACAATGAGACGTCATTGCCGGAAGATGAGCCCCTCAGGTCGGAAGGTGTCCAAGATGTTACTGGGGAAGAGCAGAGGGCAAGTACTAGTAGCGCCAGAAGGAATGACGTGACTGGTTCAAAGCTGAAAGGACACTCAGTTGCGGATGTATCTGCTGGTGAAAGGAAACTCTGATGCTGTAAAGATCTGTACTCCATAGGAACCTGGAATGTAAGATCCATGAGTCAAGGCAAACTGGACATGGTCAAACATGAGATGACAAGACTGAACATTGACATCTTAGGAATCAGTAAACTAAAATGGACAGGAATGGGTGAATTTAATTCAGATGACCATCAGGTATACTACTGCAGGCAAGAATCCCTCAGAAGAAATGGAGTGGCCTTCATAGTCAATAAAAGAGTAGGAAAAGTAGTACTGGGATACAATCTCCAAAATGACAGAATGATCTCAGTTTGAATCCAAGGCAAACCATTCAACATCACAGCAGTCCAACTCTATGCCCCAATCACTGATGCTGAAGAGGCTGAAGTTGACTGGTTCTATGAAGGCCTACAACACCTTCTAGAATTAACACCCCCCAAAAAAATGATGTCCTTATCATCACAGGGGATTAGAATGCTAAAGTAGGAAGCAAAAAATAACCAGAATAACAGGCAGGTTTGGCATTGGAGTACATAAGGAAGCAGGGCACAGGCTGGTAGAATTTTGTCAAGAGAATACGATGGTCATAGCAAACACTATATTCCAACAACCCAAGAGACGACTCTACACATGGACATCAGATGGTCAGCACAGAAATCTGATTGACTATGTGCTCTGCAGCCAAAGATGGAGAAGCTCTATACAGTCACTAAAATCAAGACCAGGAGCTGACCATGACTCAGATCATGAGCTTCTTGTTGCAAAATTTAGGCTAAAATTGAAGAAAGTAGGGAAAAGCATTAGGCCACTCAGGTATGACCTAAGTCATATAACTGATGAATATACAGTAGAGGTGACAAATAGATTTAAGGAATTAGATCTGATAGACAGAGTGCCTGAAGAACTATGGACGGAGGTTCGCAACATAGTACAAGAGGTAGCAACTAAAACCATCCCAAAGAAAAGGAAATGCAAGAAAGCAAAAAGGTTTCTGTGAAAGCTTTACAAATAGCTGGGAAAGAAGGGAAGTGAAAGCAAGGGAGAAAGGGAAAGATGCACCCAATTGAATGCAGAACTCCAGAGAAATGCTAGAAGAGATAAGAATGCCTTCTTAAATGAACAGGAAGTCTGAGCAACAGCAAAGCTAGTGGAGGTGACAGCATTCCATCTGAGCTATTCAAAATCCTAAAAGACAATGCTGTAAAAGTGCTACACTCAATATGCAAGCAAAGTTGGAAAACTCAGCAGTGGCCACACAATTGGAAAAAGTCAGTTAACATTCCAATTCCAAAGTAGGGCAATGCCAAAGAAAGTTCAACCTACCGCACCATTGCACGCATTTCACATGCGAGCAAAGTTAAGCTCAAAACCTTACAAGCTAGGCTCCAGCATATGTGGACTGAGAACTACCAGAAGAACAGGCAGGATTTTGAAGAGGGAGAGGAACTAGACTAAATTACCAACATATGCTGGATTATGGAGAAAGCTAGGGAGTTCCAGAAAAACATCTACTTCTGCTTCACTGACTATGCTAAAGCCTTTGATTATGTGGATCACAACAAATTGTGGCAAGTTCTTAAAGAGATGGGAGTACCAGACCATCTTATTTGTCTCCTGAGAAACCTATATGTGGGTCAAGAAGCAACTGTGAGAACTGCAATGTATGGCTGTGAAAGTTGGACCAAAGTACAGCATTAGCCTTACATTTCAAATGCAAAGACATTCCAACATAACATTTCTAAAATAAAAGTCTATTTATTTTAAGGGAAGAGTACATGACTTATTCTATTCGCAATTAAGTCACATTGTGTTCAGTGTGCTTTGTATTGCAGTCTTATCAATTTACTTCTGAATGTGAAAATGGTTAAATGTAGGTGTCTATCTTAACTTCTATGCCATATAAGCAGTAAACACATTCTATGCTCTCATATATTACGTCTGCATATCAATATGATCAATGCAAGAGCACACTATAGTCCCCCAGCAAATACCTTTCTTGTATCTCTGAAATAATCCCCCTCGGTCCCCCACTCTTTCTGACTATGGAGCAGAGCTTGACATCTTTCCCCTTAGGCACCAAAAATCTTTGCTTCACTTAAAAGGTAGGAAAGGGAGAAATGAAGAAAGAGAGGGGAGGAGCCAGTATGGCGCAGTTGTTAGAGTGTTGGACTGGGACGCAGGAGATCTGGGTTCTCATCCCCACTCAGCCATGTAGCTCATCACATAGATCCTCAGCCTAGTCTACCTCACAGGGTTGTTGCTGTTGGGAGGTGTGAGCTGCCTTAGGAAGAAGTCAGACAGAGTATAAATGCAAGGCAATGATATAATAATAATCCCCCGAAGGCTAAGCAGCAAAAGTGGGGTTGTGAATGATAGGGATAGCTATTCTTGGTGCACTTTCTGAAGTCAGGCAGATTTGGACTCATCAGACAAAGAGAGTCCCTGGAAACCAGAATTCTCAGAAGCTGAAATGGAAGAAGTGGAATGGACTTATCTCAAGGGCACCATTCCCAGGTGTTCAGTGGGACTTGTCAGGAATGTAGGGAAAGGGCATGGGAGAAGAACTCCTACAGCCGGCTGAGCCTGTACAACTCTTGACCCCAGGACGCAATGTTGGAAGAGACAGGCTAACCAACTAGAGGGGCAACAGACAGAAAGGCTTGCCTGTATCCACAAGGGCCATCCCAGAGGAAGGGGCCCCAGGGGTACTCAAAAGGAGGATGTTTGGAAGAAGTTGCTAGATGGGGTTCAACAAACCACTCTGTGCATACTCAGATACTCATTCTTGGTTGGTTGTGCTTGCTGAAAGTGCACTGGAGAAGGAAGAGCTTTTGCTAAAGAATGGTCTGTTGTTTTGGAAGTGCAAAGGGGAAAATGTAGCTCATGACAGGTGAGAATGCTGGCTTTACCATCTTGTCAGCCTTCTTGCCCACCTGGCTTAGCCTCTCCATCGTCATCCTTGCCATCTTGTCAGCCTTTTTCCACTGGCTGACACTGGGGCTGGTAGACTGAGGCAAGAGATCCCAGTTGTGTGAACATGACAACAGCAAGCCTGCCTGTTCGTGGGTTACCAACACCTTGTACCTGGTATGAAGACACAGCAGGAGAACACCTGCTGGCCCAAAGCAGGGCAGTGGCGACCCCAAAGAGGACAATGCCAAAGGGTTGCCTCTGGCGGGGAACCACTTTTGGGGAGATGCAAGGGCAAGCCCCCTAACATTGCTGTTATTATTTGTGGTGGTGGTGAGGCTTCTTCCTGTGTATAGGCCTTGTGCATAGGCAGTGGAGGGAGAGGATGGGACCAAGCGGGGTGTGTAGATGGTTGGGCAGGGGGAAGAATTAATGTAGTAATCGGTAGAGGG